TAACCCAAAACTGATCCGTTACTTATCAGTTTTTATAAGTATTACTTTGTTATATCACCTAATTTTATATAGTCACATCACTCCACTAAAAATTTCCGCCCATATGGTTAGGGTTAGCGTTTAAACTAAAGTTGGATATTAAAAGAAATATAGTAAAATTTCCATTTTTTTCTAAACGAACGTTTGTTTGATCGCGTGATGTTACACCAAATCAAAATTCTTTATTGGATAATTTGTTGTAGATCATCACGTGATCGAAAAATTAATTTTGTTGGCGATCCTGGGGTAGTTCCTCTGATCTCGCAATAATGATCGCACTGTCACTTCGTTGACAAGTTTCTCAGTTCGATCATAGTGGCGTCAATTCTGTAATATCACGAGGAAACTTATGTTCGACCGGGTTGTACAATGATTTGGACATAGCCACTTGGTTGCAGACGTTTGTGTTTTAATTATATAGATAGATAATAAGAAAATGGAAATTTTTATTGAATTTCCATTTCGGCATAACAACGAATTAGGATAGGATAGAATTAGAATATTGTCACGGATGATCATGAAAATGGACGATGATGAAATTTGATGAATAATTGGTAAAATTTTTTTGGGTTTTTTGTCGGCTTTTTTTTATAATTAAGTTAGGATTTGAGGTTGGAGTTATTAGTAAAAGAGTATAGCTGGATTTTGGTAGGGCATATATTTTCAATCTAGACTTCCCACGACATATATTATTATACAAAAGTACCGTATTTTTAAAATTATATATTTAATACCGTAAAGGTGCATATACAAGACCCGGGTCTCTTACATTCCACCAAAAAAATTAATTAGTAAAAAAAGAAATAATTAGTAAAAAATGAAGGTGGGTCTGATATATGGGTCTGATATATGGGGATCTTGTATATGCACTTTTACGGCAAGTTGTTATAACTTTTTAAAAAATAAAGCCGCTAATTTGTAGTAAATTGAATCAGAATTAGCTCAAATTAGCAGCTTCCTCTTTTTAATATATTTTTTAGAACAAAAGTTATTAGCTCTTGAAATTAGTGTAGTCTTCAGCGTTGCGCACTTTAAAATTATGAAATTTAAATTTATAATTGAATTTACGCATATTGTTCTTAGTCAAAGAATATAAGATAACTTGTAGTCGATGTTTTCGAATGTACGGCAAGAGGGTAATATGTAAATGCAGTTCGATCACCAGTCTAATAAATTTTTCTAGCCAAGCACATTTAAAGATCATGGTAATCAAAAATAGACGCAAAAAAAAAAACGCTTGTAACTTAAAAAAACCAAACTTTCTAACCTTAATCTTATAGCAAGGCCCTAATTCTAAGAGTGCAAAATTTTTATATCGAATTTTTAGTTTTATAAAATAATGTAATAAATTTTTTATACTGGTGATGTTAGAACACGCATATTTATTTATTTATTTATTATTGTGATGGATTAAAATGAAGTTGAGTTGAGTATAACATGAAATAGACAAGTCACAGAAAAATAAGTTAAATAGAAACCCAAATTACTTGTCCTTTCATTATGACACGTGACATTTATTAATTTTCTTCAAACATTTTAGGATAGTCAATTTTGAAGTAACAATCATTGTATAAGTAATGGATAGTTACGACTTTAAAATTCAAAAAATTTGATATTCGAGTATCGATTACTAAAAAAAAAAATAGGAACTTACAATAGATACGCCTTTAATTGAAATTGAAATAATTGCATAATTGCGTAAATTATATTAAAACTTTCAAATTTATTAATATTCTACAAAATATTATATTAAACAATTGCAAATATAAAATGATTTCATTCTAATATCAGTATCACTATAATAAACTACGACTTACCAATTACTGAATTAGCAAAAATATTCCCATAGTATCTGAAATAATATCAATATAACTAATAAAAAATATTCATTATTTATATTCTTAGCTATTCCACTTGCGCTCATATCAATGTTGGTTGTATTTGTGGAAGTTTCATCAGGACTGAATGATACATATGCTTTTTGACTATTATTAAATGGATTTGATATAAATAGACACCACATTTGTCCAGCTTGATTTGGCAGCCCCATAAATGGAGAGTCACATTGAGTAGTTGTAAATTCAATTGTACCGCAATAATAAACATCATTATAGACTACACGATTGTTATTTTCAGAAATAGTAGTTGCATACGTTGAATTGGTGACACCTGAAGATACTTCAAAACCAGTGCCATGAATACGTTTACGAGAAGAATTTCCTCCAATATATAATCCAAATCCAGGAGTTGCAGGGGTTAAATCATCAATAAGCTTAATACTGAAGCCTATAATTATATTTTTGATTATTAGAAATATTAAAAAAATTAGGCCTAAAAATAATAATGCTAACTTTTATTAACAGCGGCTGCTATATCAAAAGTACAATTAATCCAAAATCCATCATGTGAAGGAAGAAGAACAATTCCTGATTCGGCATTAATGCTAATAGTAAAAATCTTTTATCGTTTAACAAAAAAGTGTGTACATATGAAATTAAAGCCTATTTACGTAATTGATTCATTAAACAATAATTCTAGAATATCATAATATTCTTGAACTAATGTCTAGCATTTGTTTAAACAAAGTTTAATTATAATTAAAAAATATACCTGAAAAACCAGAATTATTATTATAAAATTCATCATCACTATTAAAGTGAATATTTCTTGATCTAAATTACTTTCAAAAATTTTTAATATGTGTATGTCTATTTTTATATAAAATAAATGAGGTTGACCAACACATATAAATACAGTATATAAGTTTTATATTTACGTTCTTACCAATTTTTATCACTTATACAAGTAAAGAATATATTGTTGTAGTGAGGTATTATAATAAAGGTGTATAACAAATATGTAACAATATAGTGAGACTAAGAAAAACTTTGATACAATGGATCACTTATAAACTTTTGACGGTTCATTATATTACGAGCTATCGTATGCATCAAATATATTAAAATCATTCACCTACAATCACCTGGTATTACCCACTTTGGCAGACATATTGTAGTAAAATTGTTGTTGACAAGTCTACTAGAAACTCCTTAACACAAATAAGAATACGTAATCTTATTCCCCTTAATCCTAATCTTCACAAAGGGGTCACTTATATAATTAAAATTTAAATCTTTTGCCATATTTTCATAGCAGCACGATGCATATGAACTTATATTGTACATATTTTTTCATATTCGGAATAAAATATCATTGTATTCTGCATCATTATGCCGTGTATTTCTGAAATGCCTTTCCATAACAGTACACATGTAAGGCAGTACGACAGCATAAATTAGTGAAATATGGTAGTATAACCAAGTTATCCTGATGTGAAATTATGTACTGGCTTTTTTTGCAAAAAAAAAAGACATACACAAACACTTTTGAATGTGTACATACGTATTATTCATTCATTTCAATCATTATGAATTGTTTTTGTATTTAGAATTAGGAATCTGATGTTTCCATAAATGCAATTATCTTAAATACACACACTCCTGTAAATACATAATCTAGTTTAACCCCAAAGGTTTAAAATGCTAATTATTAATGCTCATATAAAATTTGCGATATTTGACTTCAGCTATATTTTCCTAAACTTTTTGAAGTTATAAAATTTGGTTCAATAATGTTTATTCGACCTTTTCTCTTTTCTTTTTCACTACTAAGCTATCTATTTCCTTTTGTGACCAGTCTAAATGTTCCTCATGGTCTAAATGGGCAAACTAGTTCATTAGTCGGTACTAGGCTTTATTTTTTTGGTGGATTTACACGAATTTTAAATGTTACCAATGAAGTATGGTATCTTGATTTATCAAACTTAAGCTTATTTAACAATGCTACATTTACATGGAATAAAGATGTTGGAATGCCTGTAGGAAATCTTTTTGCCACATCTTGTGTTAGCCCTACTAATGATTCGGCTGTTTTTATTATTGGCGGAAGACAATTTCTTCCAAATACACCGATTCCTGCTTATAATTCATCTGTATATATGTTTGATCCTAATAATCATTCTCTATTGTCAATACCGAATATTTCCAATTTCAATAATAGCTTTAAAACACGTAATTTAATACAAGCTGTTATTGATAATGCAGGAAGAGTTTTTATTTTTGGTGGAATGAATTTTAATGCGACTGTTAATGATAATTCTTCACAAGTTTATTATAATGATATGAATATACTCGATATTACTACTATGTCCTGGTCAACTCTGATCATACCCCAAGCTCTTCCATATTATTGTTATACCGCTACATTACTGCCAACTGGTCTTATCGTTTATATTGGTGGATTAGATTATTTATCAAGAAGCCTTTCTGTTAATATGAGTGAGGCATGGATTATATACTTTAAATCTATTATTCTTGATTTAATTTTAATAATTTTATATAAAATACAGATTCGAACTTTTAATACAACTTCCTTTACCTGGTCTACTAAAGTGTGTACATAAATTTGTTATTAATAACTGATTAATTTTAACATAACTAATCAATTTTAATTTTATAAATTTTTATTATTGTAATTTAGTCAGTTAATGGCAGTTCTATTGGAGCTCGTATAGGTCACTCGGCCGTTTTAAGTAAGTGCACTGTATATATCTATACATAATATTTAATAATTTATCAATTTACTTATTTTTTAATTTCAGGTCAAAATGGTGATATTATTATTTATGGTGGTTCGGAACTTACTCAATCAGGCCCAGTATCACTTCCTAATCTTTGTATATTAAACACAAATTCCTGGATATGGTCTATACCCGATATTCCTCCTGAAAATACTCCACAATCACTTACCTTCCATTCTGCTGCATTATATAAAAATTATATGGTTGTTGTATTTGGTAAATATCTATTTCGTTTGATGATAAAAATTACTAGAATTATGAAATTACTAAGAATTATTTAATACTTTTACAAATTTAGGGATCATAGCGTCAACAGGAGGTTTTTATAATAAAGATATTTATGTTCTTGATATTCAAAAATACGTTTGGATTGGCATAAATAATAGTGAGACTACAACTCAAGGTTCTTCAAAAAGTCACAAAAACCAAGCAAACAAAGCACAAAGTTCTTCAAATTCTTCATCTGTTAACGGGTTATTTATTGGATTTGGTGTTGTGAGTGGAATTGTATTAATTGGAATGGCAACTTTTTTTGGATTTTTATTATACAAAAAACAATATAAAAGTTGCAACTAATAACTAAACAGAATTGTTTTAATAGATATTCTAAATTTCGCGCAAAAAATTTTATAATCAATACTTAATAAAAAAATGCCTAAAGCCAATTATCACATACATGAACAGTAAAATTTTATCATCGTTTTTCCAAATTATTGTGATTAAAGATGGACAAGGAAATAATGCAAGTAATGACTAATGTCACGGCTGAAGCTGGAAACGCTGAAACTGGAAATTGAAAAATTTTGACATGAAATTTTAGAAATTTTTTGGGTGCATTTTTCTAACTTCTTTTTGGCAGTTAGGTTAGTATTTAGGGTTAGTTTTGATAATAAAAGAGTATAGGTGGATTTTGTAGGGTATATGTTTTAAATTGAGGCACAGACCCGTGGGTCGATAGCGCAGTGGTTAGCGCTCCCGGGTCACAATCGCAAGGTCACGAGTTCGAGTTCCACTGGGT